TAAGCGTCTGAGTGATTATTTTATATGTGGATTGTGGGACTGCGGGGCTTGGGGAACCTGGAGAGAAGCCCTCCAGCAACAGTATATAAAGTTTATAAAGATTGAGAGACAGAAAAGCTTAAGTTGTTTAAGAAAATGTTTTAAGGTCTTAAAAGATATTTTTATGTTGGTAATACAAGCTATGGCAGAAAGTTATTTAGATACGAAACTTTGGACTCATCAAGATAGGATATATAATAGAGTACTTTGTCCGAGGTTGCCAAATACAAATGGACTAGACATGTAAATGTAATTCTTACCTGATATTTGTTATTATTGTATATAGTTTATTGATGTTAGAGGAAGAGCCTTTTATTGAACTGAAAGGAGGAGATGTTGGGATAATCTTTTTGTACACTGTGAAGATGTTTCTCTGTTTGACCTCACCTGCCTAAGGCACTTAACGATTGGTTTAATAAAGAGCTGAATGGTCAATAGCTAGGCAGGAGAGGATAGGCAGGACTTCTGGCAGAGATAGGAACTCTGGGAAAGAATCTGACATGGGATTCACCAGCCAGATGCAGAGGAAGTCACATGTACAGTACTAAGGAGAGGTAATAAGCCGCATGGCAGAATGCAGATTAATATAAACAAGAGAATGTAAGTTTTAAGAGACTAAGCTAAAGCCAAGCTTTCATAGTTAATAAAAAGTGTCCGTGTCATCATTTGGAAGCTGGCAGTCCAAAGAAAGACCTGCCATAGCCACTCTCTTTTAAGCGTGGCGGTTGGTAAGCGGGTCCCACGTAGGTTCATTGTGTGGACGGAGAAGTGTCGTTTCTGTGCACGTCCCGTCTGGTTCACCCACAGTATGATGCTTATCCACAACGACAGCAAGGCGTTTGGCTTCTGTAGATTCAAACGTCACAAAAACTTTAAAGCAAGCACAGTTGGCAAGGTCGGGTGGGCTAAAGCCCTCAGGAGGGTGGCCGGAAAGAGCTCGCGATGGGCGGCTCATTTGAAGGGGAAGCCGGAAATGGACCTGTGAAATCCCAACGAGAGCTGTGAAGGAAGCGGTTGATGCAGTGGGGACAGTGCAGAGGGCCAAACAGGAATTCCAAGCCAAACTGGCAGTAAGCAGAGCGAGGGAAATAGAGAGCTACAGAAAGCACAAGGCATCAAACAAACCAAACGTCTATCTCATCCCCGGTCCCTGCTGTAGGCAAAGGAGAGTGGCTAAAAGGAGAAAGGGACTGGTGCACGCGTGGAGGGGGGTTCTTCAGAAGTCTCACTGTTGGAGCTCGGGAGACAGCTTAGTTAGTCGAGTGCAAGCATGGAGGTGTGGGTCCAATTCTCAGAACCCACCTAGGAAGCTGGGTGCCGTGGTGGCAGGTGCTTGTAATCCTCGTGCTGGAGATGCGGAGTCAGGTGGATCCTCTGGGTTCACTGGCCAGCCAGGATGGCCTAAGGACATCAAGAAACCCCATAGATGGATACTGCCCGAGGAATGACACCATACACACACACACACACACACACACACACACACACACACACACACACACACACACGAATAGTTTCTGTATTTGCATTTGAAAGTATCTTCTAGAGACTTAGAGTTGTTGATTTGTTATAGAAGGTAACTCACACAGAAGATAACTAGAAATCTCTCCTGCATGGCTGTTTGTACATCTCAGTGTGTTGTTAGTGATCCATCTGCTTACGCAAACTATGACAATTCTGGTTGTGGGCTTGACATGGCGGTGCACGCCTTTAATCCCTGCGCTAGGGAGGCAGAGGCAGGTGGATTTCTGTGAGTTTGAGGCCAGCCTGGTCTACAGCGTGAGCTCCAGGCCAACCAAGCCTGCATAGTAAGACCCTGTCCCAAAATAATCAATCGAGAAACAAACAAACAAAATTGCATCTGTAAATTCTGGACATAAAATGGTCCTGAATCTTGACAATAGCCATTATTTTTGAAGTGACTGGTTACTAAAATTCATTGTTAGTAATATACAAAATGAAATTCTTTTGTGGCAAAACATTCCCTTCCCAGTGGTCTGTGGAGACAAGCACAAGGACTGAAGATTTTCATGGCAACTTCAGCAGCTTTCAATTTAAGTATTTCCCGTCTCGTCTCCATTTGCAGCTTCCCAGAGGAGCACAGTGGCCACATACAGCGACGCCTAATTATGAGGACCAGTTCTGACCTAGTTTAATTGTTCTGGCAGGCAGTTGTGGATGGGGGAATAATCTGATGCGGTAAGGGTGTTACTTCTGCCTCCAGGGATGCTCTGTTCTCTTGCTAATGATTTCTGCAGTTCCTGGTAGATGAGCTTCTCCAAGCTGCAGCCCAGGAGCCACCCAGGAACAGCTCACTGGGATGTCTAAAAGTCGCGGCGTGGTTCTTTTAAAAGAGTTCCTAATTGTATTTTGGAAAATAGAACTCACAGCTAGAACATCTGCCTATTGTTTGCACACAATACTATTTGAAAAGGATGTTAAAGGAGCTAATTGTAAGACCCAATGACCGAGGGCCTCTAGCTAAGTATTGGATGAGGTCCTTGATCCTCCCAGAAACCCCATGAGCTGGGCCTCCACCATCTGATTTGGATGTTGTGTAATGTATACATGTGTCAGAGCATCACATGGAGTCTATTAACATGTGCTTTATATGTCAGAGCATCACATGGAGTCTATTAACATGTACTTTGTATGTCATATAGAAATTAATTAAAATAAAGCATTTTCTTTAATCCCCAGGTTACGAAAGAATTTCATGCCTAAAGGGCAAAAGCCATTAACAAAAATAAATAAGTGTGCTAATTACATTCAAATTTGAATACCAAAGGCACCACAAAGCTAAAACCCAGCCATTTTGAAAAGATACTTGAAATACATTTTCTAAAACTGAATTTATTAACTGTTAGTGAGAAAGATCCCTGAATGTCTTCATTCCTTCTAGGAGTGAAGAGTCCTACAAACTACCCAGAAGCCTAGATAGATCAGTGGTTAATACATGGAATAGATTAAAGGCAAAAATCAACCTGAAAAAGAAAAGTATTTCACAAAATGGGCAAATGTAAAAGGTCGAGTGGTAAAAGAAACCCCGATAGTTACTGTGTGAAAAATACCTTCAAGAGATAAGGTAAACACAAGGCAAGGCATTCCTTTGTGGCCATCAGATTGGCCGGTCTTTTAAAAGTTTGATTGTGTGCAGCATTGTAGAAATGTGTAAGAGGAGCGTTCATGGGCTAGGAAGACATGGGCAGAGATGACAGAATGTTATTAATTGTATTTCCAAATATATTTAAAACATTTAGTGTTTTATTATTATTGCTTTATGAAATCACTCATCATTTGACCGTGACTATTTCTTTACATCCTATAACCAACTACATGCCTCTCACTTAGTCACATATTTCTGTACATATATCTGGAATCATTTCTTTTTGTCCTAGAACTTTGAAAAAGCTAAAAAAAAAAAAAATGGATGAAGAGATGAAGTCTTGCTGTGTTTCCCGGCTGGCCCTGAGGCCCTGGGTTGGAACTCTGCAATAGCAGAACTGTACGTAGCACACATCAGTGTGCCCCGCTGAACACTTATTTTTGACTGGGTCTTTGGTAGGGAAGTCTCCAGGGTTCTATTTTCCTGAATACACCTTTGTTTTTCCTTTCCATTTGAAAGATATTTTTGCTAAGTGTATGTCAAGTTGGAAGTGATTTTCTTCCTGTACTTTAGAGAAATCAGTCCATTTTGTTTTCTATTGACAAGCCAAGAACTGCCTTATCGTTGTTTTCTTTAAAGCTAATGCGTCTTTTCTCTCTGCTTTTGAGTTGTCTCTTTGTTAGTTTTAAGCAGTCTTGCACAACGCATTTAAGTGTGGTTTTCTTGGTGTTTAATCTGCTTGCGTTCAAAGAGCTTCTTAAATCTGTAGTTTGAGATCTTCTGTCAGTATTTGAAGACTCTCATCCAGAGAGTACACCATTCTTTTTTTTTTTTCTTCTTCTCGAGACAGAGTTTCTCTGTGTAGCTCTGCCGCCTTTCCTGGAACTCATTCTGTAGACCAGGCTGGCCTCGAACTCACAGAGATCCGCCTGCCTCGCCCCCCCCCCCAAGTGCTGGGATTAAAGGCGTGTGCCTCTGCTGCCTGACTGCACCATTCTTGACCTCTTCCCTTAAACCCCTTAGTCCACAGCCCGGGGTGTCCTATACAGTTCTTTCGCTCTTGATGTGGTTTTCATCTCTTCTCCCATGCCCTGGTTGTCACTCTCTCTCACTGTGAAGTTGATATCAGTTGTGAACTTGGTTAGGCCTGGAATGACTTGGGGATGGGCTTCTGGGCTTGCCTGTGGGGTTTATCTTGGTTACATTAATGGACATAGGAAGACTGGGCCCACTGAGTGGCATCATTTTCTGGCCTAGACCAGAAAATGTTTTGTAGAAAATGTATTGTATAAAAAGAGAGAGTGGGCTAGCTGGGCACAAACATTCGTCGTTCTTTGCTTCTTGGCTGTGGGTGCTCTATGACTAGATGCCTTGGGAGTTTGCCCTTGTGACTTCCCACCACAATGGACTTCAACACTGAACAAGGTAAAATCAACTCTTCATTCTTTGAATTGCTTTAGGACAAGTCAGTATGCAAGCTCTTTCCAATAGGATCTAGCCGGTCTCAAACTCATTATGTGTCGGGGTGGGTGGTGGGTGTGGGGGGGTGACCTTGAACTCCTGGTCCTCTTTCCTCCACTTTCCAATTGCTGGGATTACAGGTAGGTACACACCACTATACAACGTCTTTGTGTGTGTGTGTGTGTGTGTGTGGTATATGTGTGTGCTGTTTGCATGTGTGTGTGTGTGTATGTGGTGGTACAAATGCAGAGGCCAGAGGAGGGCACTGAGTGTCCTCTTTTATCACACTCTGCCTTAATCCTTTGAGGAAAGTTTTCTCCTTGAACCCAGAACT